CACTTTTCTTGTTTTTTTGCAATAACTTTTTTGTTTATTAACCGATTTTAATTTAACCAGTCTCATTTTGTAGATAATTTTACTCCCTATAAGCTGTCTGGGAGTCACTTTTCGCTAAAATTGATGGTTTTCCCTGCAAAGTGAAAAAACTGTTTTCCTCAGTTATTTGTTTAAATAGAAAAATTAGCTAATAAAATTTTTTGACTCACGAAATTAAATGTCTTGTATGTATTATGTTCCTTTAGACAATTTTACAATAATATCGCGGATAGGAATTTTTTCGAGTTTCTCTTTTTTTTCGCTAATTTTCATGGTCTAAATATTTTAGGATGAAAGTGGTGGAAAATAAAGGAATTTTAATAAAATTTTGTCACTTTCGAAGGTGCTGAATACGAATCTGAAAAAATTCATTGTGTCAATAATTGTGAAAATACTGTCATACTATCTATCCATTGATTAAAATGCTTTTTTCGCATTTTGACTAATAATATGCTTTTACTATATTCAAAATCGCTTACTAAAGTGGCACTTTATTGAAATGTCAGTTTACTATATTGTATTGTCACTGTTAATGAAAAACAGTTTGACTGAAGATTGTTTATTTAAATACTGGAAGCATTGTTATATACAGGGTGTATAGATTTGATCCGGAACACTAGTGTAAAATTTTACAGGGTGTAACGATTTTAATGTCAATTTTTTTCAGATAAACACACGTACGGGACATACCTATTTCTAAGGAAATAATCTCGTGGCTTTCTATGATTTTTTTAACAATGATGTTTTTGGAAAATCGTATTAGGGATTTTTTTATTAGAAATTTGACAACACTGCGTTATTCAGCACCATTTAAAATCCAAATACCAAAAATTTCATTAATTTATGTCCTTGGATGTTTTTCTATAGAGCCTCAAAAGTCCCAAAACCTGAAAATTCTTATTTTAGTTTGAAAATATAGGAGGCTTTTAGAAATAAGTAAAAACAGTAAAATACCATCTAAAAAGGTTGAAATATCATGTTAAGAAAGAAAAAACAATATATATTTAATTAGGGATTTGTTTTGTGAGAAATATTTTGCTAGTAAAATAAAAATGGACTTAAGTATTAACGAAGAAGTGCAAATAATTCAACTAACAGGCAGAAATGATCGTTACAGAGAAGTAATTCGAATTTTTAATGCTGACATCCAAACCGACGAATATCAATTTCTATTGTATCACGAATAAATCGTATGTTTGATCTCAGTGGTAAACGTAAGTTCTAATTTGCAGTATATTTTAACCAGTTCAAGTTTTCTTTGGGTAATATTTCATCTACGGTAAAAAGAAGTTCAGGACATCGAGCAAATGAAAAGGGGGACACTATAACTGAATAATTCCGAAATAATCCTACAAATAGTTTATCTGATGCAGTTCGAGATTTACCCGATGTAAGTAAGATGACAGTTTGGAATCATTTAAAGAAAAGAAATATTAGGCCATTTAAAGTCAAATACCTACACACGTTAGAAGCAGGTGATGCAAAAAGGAGGTTGGTCTGGGTACAAGGAAACTATTTACAAGATCCATTATTTTTAAAAAAAAACATCATTTACATGGACTAAGCTGCATTTTCCACTAATGGGATAGTAAGTTCAGAAAATACTCGTTATTGGTCGCCTGAAAACCCCCATTATATAATTCACCGCAAGCGTCAGTAGTTACAGAAAATTAATGCTTTTTGTGGTATTTCTGGTCAAACATTATAAGTTCCGTTTTTATTTCCATGGAAAATTTAAATGGAAATATTTTTCACACATTTCTGCGAACTGAATTTTATGATTCATTTGATGATGTTCCTTTGATTGAACAGCAAAAATCCCATGCTACAGCTACATGGTGCCTCAATCCACTGCACCAGACTTGTGACAGAATGGCTTCAAACACACTTACCTAACAGATGGATAGGTAGACGCTCTAAATAAATAAAACTGGCCACCAAGAACACCTGCACTTACACCAGCAGATTTTTTTCTATGGGGACCTAGAATCAATTCGACTCACAAAAATGAAACTTAACTAACTAATTTCTGATTTTGTAATGCTTTTCACTAAAATTAACTACTAACATAATAACAGAAAATAATTTACCTAATACATATTGTGGACATGAGTCTATGGTATTTAAAGCAACCTCCGGTGTACCACAGGGTTCAAATCTGGGACCTCTACTATCCCCATTATTTATTACTGATATCAGTATTATTGTCAACTGTGATCAATCATTATTTGCAGACGATTTGAGGTTGTTTACATGATTTAGGATAGTTGTGTTCAAAAAATTTAGAAGATATATATATATATATATATAATTCAAAACTGACTTTTTCAATTCTCTTAAAGTATATGCCACATATTCAGTCCAGAAAATGCTTGGTTTGTTATTAAAAAACGTCAAGCATTTTCAAATGACTATGAATCGAAGCCACCGATAGATGTCAGTCCTTGCACCTCACCCACAGTAGTTCGGTGCAATGAAACAAGATACTAAGAAGTTAGTAGGTGAAATAACGACGGGATCAAGACTTTTTTGGAAGACCAGAACGAATAATTCCACCATTATTTTCATTTCCTCATCCCCGACCCGCCACTGACCCGAGCCACTTACGCTTACAGAAAAATTTAATTTGTAACGCGTGGCAGAGATGATGCATATATATTATTATTCATTACGACATTACTTCTTGCGCCAGCGGCTATTAACTATGATCAGTGCGTAAGTGGAGCGCGTCTTCGCGACTCGCGAGTGTTTTGTTTCTCGCCCTCGGCCGTCCTGGAATGGAACTGGATCGAAGAGGTTCGTAGGGGAAACACAATTTTTGATAAAGTAACTAACTGTCTGTTCTGTTTTACGATTCCGGGGATGTAATTTAATTAGGAATTTTGTTATTCTTGGCAAGTAAACATTGCTGGAATTCGGATATATTTGGGGGTTGCTTGAGTTCTAAACTCATAAATTACGTAAACAAATTTAAAAAAAGGAACGCTTTTGGAAAATTAGTTCAGTTTTACACAAATTTTGTTAGCATGGCCATGAAAAATATTCCGTACTAATTTTACAGGGTGTAAATATTGCTAAACCTTAACAGCGGATCTACGTCACATATTAACAAAAAAAAATAATGTAAATACACGTTCGCTCCATTTTCGAGATATAGAGATAGAGAAATTAATGAGAATTTATAAAAAATTGTGAATAATAAATAGATGAAATAAGAAAAGTATTGCACAATTTAAATATTTTAAATGCTTACAACTGGTCATCCAAAATTCTGAAAGGTATAACTAGCAGTACTCGTATATTAATTCCTGTCACTTATCTAATTAATTATTCCATCAATGATAATACTTTTCCACAATGTCTTAAAATATCGAAAGTCGTCCCGATACATAAAACAGATAATGTCAATGATCCATCGAACTACAGACCTATTTCTGTTGTGCCTGTGCTGGCTAAAATATTCGAGATATATTGAATGTCCAAATTGTAACTTATTTTGAATCAAATAAACTTTTTAACTATCATCAACATGGCTTTCGAAATAACTTATCAACTACTTTGGCCAATGATTATTTAACATCAATTATAAATGTTGGTTTTGAGGATGGTGAGTTTGTTGCTTCCTAATTTCTAGACTTAACAAAGGCATTCGACTGTATGTCGCATAATATCCTTATAAATAAATTATATTTTTATGGTTTCTCAAGAGAAAGTATAAAATTAGTGGAATCTTATTTAAATGATAGAGTTCAATATGTTCAACACAACGGTGTTAAGTCTGGTTTAAAGAATACTATTCATGGTGTGCCCCAGGGCTCAGTATTGGGTCCTCTGCTATTTCTAATTTACTTAAACGACTTTCCAATTTCTTTACATGGAAATATTAATAGTGTGTTATTTGCTGACGATACTAATATAAGCTATAGAAATAAAGACTTAGTTTTATTAACAGAGAAATCACCTCAAATTCAGTCAAGAGCAAGTGATTGGTTTGCTTCTAATAACTTGAACTTGAACAAGTCGAAAACGGTGACTATGGTTTTTACCCTACGAAGTGGAGAACATTTAAATAATCCAGATTTTGTTAAATTTTTAGGAGTATACCTAGACTCTAAATTGTTATGGGACCAGCATGTCAATTATATTTGTTCCAAAATATCAAAGCATCTATATTTGCTCCGTACTCTCTTATATAAACTATCCAGAAATATTTTAATAACAGTATATCATAGTCTCATTCACTCTGTTTTGCCTTATGCAATCCTTGTTTGGGGTCACGCTCCCTCGAGTCGGCAAGTGTTTTCACAACAGAGAAAGGCTATCAGGGTGATATCGGGCTTAAACTATAGAGATGACTGCAGAGATCAGTTTATTGAATTGAATATACTCACATTTCCATGTACTTATATATTCCACTGTATTATGTATGTTAGAAACAATATAGGGTCATTTAACTGTAATCATGAAATTCACACTTAGGTATAATACCCGCAATAGGAACTACCTCTCAAATAAACATCTAAGACTAACTAGAACACGAAATGGTACAGGATATTGGGGTTTAAAATTATTTAATGCTCTCCCTGATTATGTAAGGATTTTAAATATAAATACTTTTAAAAAAAGAATCAAGAATTATTTATTGAGAAACGCCTTTTTATGATTTTATTCAGTTTTTATCAAGCGACTTGCACAATATTTAATTTGTTAGTTTTAACTATTTGTTGGTTCTTATCATCTGTACCTATCTACATGTATTGTTTTGTATGTTTGTAATATTTTTAATGATATTGTTAGTCTGTAACTATTTTATATTGATTTTTCTATCTTTGTATATTTTTTATATAGTAAGTGATCTCAGCGTACTAAGTTATGTGCTTTTCCTTTTCTTTTGACGTGTGTAAACACTCTGGTGACATTAATTGAAATAAATAAATAAATAAATCTAAATTAAGTGATGCAAGTATACCATATAATTCTGTAGTCTCAGTTTGAATACCTAGTAAAAAGCTAATAATAAATAATTATCCAAAAATAAAAAGTAAAATTTATTTTATGAAAGAAACGAATTCGTTTAGGTAATTATTTTGTCGACAACCGCTTTTATTTAATGGAACACCCTTTATATTAGGACATTTTTGAATTGTACGGTAAATTCTGAACACTTTTTGTATAACACACCATATCTCTAAGTTTTCGTAATAATGACGTTTGAAAATTGATATTTTAAAAGACCCACAACTAATTAAATAAAATGTTTAAATTGAACAACCTTGTAAATTTTTTTTAAAAGCCAACAAAAACAACCGGGTATGCCAAATTTTATCTTAAACAAAACAATTATTTTCTTCGTATTAATCGTTTTTCATTCATTGACCCCTAGGCCATTTTGATGTAGTATTTTGTAACAGTAAAATCTAAACTATCATCGGCGTTTAGTTTGTCAGTGTCATTTTGTCAATTTTACGTTTCATTTTAAAAATGCATTTATCTGAGAAAGAACGTAATGAAATACTTATGATCAACAAGAAGTGTGCAATTTGTTTAATGTAATCTATCCTGATCGACCTCCAATTACTAGATCTACTATCAGCAAAATTGAATTGAAATTTGCTGAGCACGACTGCGTTAGAGATTTACCTAAAGGAAGACCAGCAGAAATATAAGTAGATTCTAAACTAGACGTTTTACTAGAAACTGTAAATAATCCCCATGTAGCCTCCAAGAATTGTCATTTGTCATCTGGAGCTGTGTCACAAATATTCCCAAAAAATAAATATCATAATTATAAGGTTCAATTGATACAATGATCTATTGGAAGACGATTATGACCGAAGAATGCAGTTTTGTCAGAAGATAATTGAGATGAATAATCAAAACTTAGATTTCACCCGAAAAATATTTTTTTCTGAAAAAGCTACTTTTGTTTTAAATGGACATGGAAACAGACAAAACTGCAAGTACTGGGCAACTCCTTGATGGAAACAAGTCTGTCACACACAACATCGTCTAAAAATAAATGTTTGGGTAGGTATTGTCGAAAACCGAATTTTTGGACCTTATTTTTTTGAACAAAATTTAAATGGAGAACGCTCTTAGACTTTCTTCAGTTTGAACTCATCCCCGCTTTAGCTGTTGTGTTTCCTAATCCACAAGATCCAGGTATTCCTCATAATGACATATTGACATGGTTGCAACACGATGGGGCACCTCCTCATGTTGCAATTGATGTTCAATAATTTCTTGACTTAACTTTTACTAATAAATGGATTGCACGCAGAGGTCCTATTGAGTGGCCACCAAGGTCACCGGATTTAACCCCTTTAGATTTCTTCTTATGGGGTTATTTGAAATCTGAAGTTTATGTGAATAGACCAAATAGTCTTCATGACCTGAAACAGAGAATACGCCAGGAAATAAGACTTATTCCAGCAGAGGTAATTAAAAACGTTCAACGGGAAACAATTCTTCGACCACAAAAATGTATTGAAGTAAACGGACAAAACATTGAACATTTATTGTAAAGGAATTGTTATTTAAATAATGTTTTATGATTAAACATTCACATTCTAAACGTCATTATTACGAAAACCGCTGATTTTAGAGATATGGTATGTCATACAAAATTTATTATACAGAATTCAAAATTGGCATAATATACAGGATGTTCCATTAAAAAAATCAATGATGACTGCAGATGCTCTCCTTGAGGCGCCCTGTAACAATTTTCTTATGTCAAAAAACCCGCAACTAAAAATACTAATCGACGTGTCCGAGCGTTTTTCCACAAAATAATTCTAATAGATTGAAAACTTCACACAATGGCCTGTGGACAGAAGTTGTTACACCATTGAATGAAATTTGAGTGAAATTTCGCCCAATTTTTTTTTCAGTGTAATAGGCCTATTTATAGTCTCAAAAACTTTTCCGGTTCACTTATTATGCCGTTTTCAATAATAATTTGGGGAAAACAAGCTCCCACTGGATTTATCCAGACAAACGCCATACCCTCGTCATCCGTTTTTGGGGCAACTTCGCGTCAAAAGAATAAAATTATACCTCACGTTATTTAAACAGATCTTATTATTAAGATGCTGCGACAAAGCTACCTCCTTTGATGGCATTATTAATATTACACAGTATTTACCCTTCTTCTGGTAAACAAAGAAGAAAAATATCGGGAGATTTTCCTCGGTGTTTTTATTTTTGAAACGTCCGTAATTAAATTTTGAGAAACAATGTAATTACGTATTAGACTGAGGAGCGCGCTTATTAAACAAATTAAGAGCAATAATCGTCACCATCGCGGATATAAATAGATCCAGTGGAAGCGTGTCCAGCGAGGTCTCTGTACAGTGCGTGAGGATAGAGTTCAAATCAATTCGCTGGAATTGGTGGAATAGATTTTTTTTTAAACGCTCGAGGTCAATCTTTCGCAGGGATGACACAAATGTTTCTACAGGGTGCACCTTTGAATGGTGACCATATTTGATACAGAAAAACTCGTATTATAAGTTTGTTTTCTTAAATCCCGTTGTGAAAACTTATTTTTTTTAATCCTTTTTTTAGTAATTTTCATACCCCGCCGCTGGACGAGCGAGTGTGAACGCAAACAACGGCGCGTGTTGCATACACACTTGGGAACTACGGTATGCAGTGTTGTCAGATCTTATAATTTAAAGGAAACGTTGTTAAAAAGCAAATTTAAACACCATTGCTGTGAAATACTGCTATATGGCGAGTTACTTTTATTGCGAACCATATCATCCCACATAAACGAAAATTTAATTCTTCTA